TAATAATCATTTCTCGCTCTTTGCTCTTGACCATCACCCGTATCAACACTATGTATGGCCAACACGGATCATTCGATTTCGCTTGCTGCTTTCCTTGATGAATTGACACTGATCTCGAGGCTTCGCGGCGGTGTTCGAAATTTAGAACGGCTGAGCCATTCTGCCGCCCGCACCTAAAAGCTCAGCCCATCCTGTTTCTTGTCCTTCGGCCCCCAGTTGATCTGTGTGCCAAAGTCTGATAGCAGCCCAAGGACTGGATCGTGAGCCGCTCTGTAGTTCTGCTCCATCCATGCTTTCACTAACAGTCATACAGCTCGGCTTCCGATTTTCGCAACTCGATCAGTTTGAATACCACCATGCGTGCCACTATACTCTTTTTTATCGCTACAACCGTTGCCGCTTCCGTAGGCGTCAGGTATGTCGACTTTTCCGAGTTGTCTGTAAGGACGAGGCCAACTATTGTTATGTAGCGCCACCCCTGCTTCATATCACGATGGCCTCTATGCGCGTGGAGATAGTGCTGGGATCTCACCGTACGGAGATTCTCATCTCTCTGCTCGCGGTGCTTTTCTGTCGAAGGCTAAAGAAAAAGAAAAAGTCCGTATATAAGACTATCATACAACGCAAACGCTCGTGTGTGCTAACCATTATGATGCTTAGAAGAAAACTAAGGACTCTTATCCACCAGCAACTCTCCCATTTATACGACCAGAACCCAAGTCACCGGCGAGGGATGACTCACCTTCCCCATATTCACACGATGCACTCTTAGATTATTTGAACCGACCGTTACCCCCGTTGCCCCATGCAGAGAACGGTCGGGTGCATTCTAACAGACGACAAGGAACACGATCACCCCGACGAGCGTGGTCCTGAAGATGACTACGAGGACTCTTGGGATCGTAGTCCCATGCACGACGAGCGATTCATGAACACTTGGACCACCACATCCGAGCTCTGTTCGCGCGTGCGCTCCTCGATATGCTTGACTGATTTAGCCATTAACGGATATCGTGAGTGACACGCTATTACTGAGGGCTTGATACAATATCATTATACGATGGCGCGTTTTCGTGGTCCCGTAGCGAGACTGGCTCTCAGATTGAAAGGAAGGAGACGGTCCGAGTTTGAAGGCACTCGAGTCCACTTTTGTTCTCGGCATTGTGTATCTGAACAACCTTGAGGCTTATTCAGCTGAGACAGTGGGTAGATCGGAATATTCCCCCGAAAGCATCACAACTTTCACTGGACGGATCGCTTGGAACGGGGATGACACTGTCCAACAGCAGTGAGGAACCGGAAGGCTACTTGGGATGCTTGTTTGAAGGCCGCATGCGTGATGCCGTAGTATGGGCTCAAGTTTCCCCCGGAGCCTGGTATCTGTGTATATATGAGCGACATCGCGTCCATCGAGTACAAGGCAGATTGACAAGTCAACACAGCGTCCAAGACCGGTCACTCACATTAATCTCCAGATGTCTCAGTCGCAGCCCACAGCGAAATGTTTTTCGTTTGTTTGCTTTTAGCTGTATGTAACAAATTCGTATACACAAAGCGACAGGAGAGAAGGCTGCAATGGCGGCGTCGGCTCACGCGGTCTCGTCAAGGAAGCCATACCTCTATCCCTCATCGCAGCGACGGCTGTGGCTAGATTGCAGATCCAGAAGTTGACAGGACAAAAAGGTCTTCAGACTAGAATATACTGGTGGATGGGCCAGACACTGAGGGTAATTTCTACTAACAGGTCTCGTCAACGTGTGCCAAGGGGAGCGAGAGGTTAATCTGACGGAAGCAAGGCCGCTCATGAATCAGTCATCCTGTGTATATCCCTTACTCGCAAGTGAAAGACTCCTCAAGAGCACAGGATCCACGCCCAGAAAGTTCTGGGTCCGCTGAATTTATCCTGGATACGATTCAGACGCATGAGACCTGATCGTGAAGCGTAATGAAAAAATGAGAATCGAGGTGCACAAAGCTGCGTGCAGGAGATGTCAACAGGATCTCAAGACATATCTGTGCAGACGGATAACGCAACACCGAGCGATCTTAGCGCTTAGATGATTTATTTACCGAACATCACAATATTGTGCAACACCTGATTGGTGCACATACGAGTCAAAATGATGAGTATGACGGATGAAGCAGTCTATTCGACGCACCTTTCATCCCGCCAGGAGCCTAAATGAGACGCATATACCTAGGTCAAATGACTCTCAACACAGTGACAGTATTCTGTCGAAAACAACGGTTCAAAATGCACGTGAATCCAAATACATGAATAACAGTACGGGTACTAATACAGCAGAACATGAGAAAGGATGCAATTACCGGTGGACCAAGAGCGATGGATAACATATATGATGGATAGATCCAGGACGCACGAAAGAAAGGAGTAACCGGACCAGGTCGCTCATTCTGGTTTTTTCGCTTCCGCGATTGGATTTGATGCAGGAGCCTCGACAGATTTCCGTCTTTCCAGCACTTGGACCCACTTCTTTGGAAACCACCCTTCTCGCCCATCGCGTGTACGCCCTTTCCACCACTCGCTCCCCTCCACCTGAACAGGACATCAGGAATGACCATGAATGTCGATATCAAACGACGAACCTCGAGTCTCGGATCAATCTCCGCACCCGTCGCAGGGTCCAGCTTGCCCATGATCGCCACGATCTCATTCTCCTTTATCGCTAGCTCCGCAGGAGACGACGGCTCGAACGGGTAGAGCGCGCGGGCAAATGTCAGCTGCGAGGGATCGAGCGGCGGTAGTGCGCCCTGCTGTTGCTCCGCCAGCGCCTGCTGCCGCGCTACGAGCGCACGCACGAGCCTGTGCATCGCATACGGCACCCCGAGAACGGCGAGGAGGAAGATGATGAGCGGCTTCTTGCTTGCGCGCGGGGCGGCCTGGCTCTGCGGCTGCACGGGGCGGCCGCTAACAAAGTCCCTGAACTCGCCCTGCATCGCGCCGCCCGAGCGACGGCCAGTGAGAAGGTCGCGAAGCCAGCGCACGAGGCCAAATAGCCCGAGGACGCTCCCGAGAGCGGCGCGCAGCTGGCCGATTTGGTCGACGACGCCGACCATGGCGAAGAAGCTCGAATGCGTCGCCATGAACGTGCTCTCGAGCATCTGCGCAACGCCGCCAAAGGTCTGCACGATGGAATGCAAGAGAGCAAACGTGTGCTGCGTCGCGCCCTCGAGTGTCTGCGTAAGCGTCGGCTGCGAGGGGTCGGCGCCGAATGCCCCACCGGGCATCCCGTAGCCGGGCATGCCACCATACATCCCGCCCATGCCGTACGACCCGTACCCGCCGTACATGCCACCCATTCCACCCATCGCCCCCATCCCGCCCATCCCGCCGTACCCCATCCCGCCGTACATGTTGTTCATCCCGTAGGACGAATACGAATTGCCGCCGAATCGATTGTAGGGGCTGTATGAGGAGTAGGGAGCGGCGTAGCCGGTGTTGGGATTCGTGAGCGCTGAGGTATTTGACAGTGCGGCGGGGCGAGTGGGGATGGAAGGGGGTGCGGACGAAGATGATGAGGGAGAAGGGGCGGAGGGGGCAGACGCTGTGTTGCTAGTTGCTGGTGCTGGAGTAGAGGTCGTCAATGTCGGCACTGGTGCAGATGCAACCACTCCACCAGCTCGTTCCCAGGGCTTGGGGGGCGACGGCATGTCTAGGATGTTCGGGATACTAGAGGCGGTTACTAACTGAGCTAGTCTGGGTCACTGGAAAGCTTCGTGGCAACAGAAATATACGGGCCCTGTGGTAGAACATGTTAGCATCTTGAATTAGTTGCCAGAATGTGGACCCGCACTTTTTGAATGGACAGAAGTGTCGGCGGGGACAGCGCAACGTTAGCTTGAGGGTAAGATAGAGTCGGCGTGGGCGAGAAAAGGTACGCGCCAACTTCTGCGTATTGCACGCTGCCAGGATGCAGACGCCTGCCATTCCTGAGATTGGTGAGATGGCCGAGCGGTCTAAGGCGCCAGACTAAGGTATATGTAATCTGGTCCGTGTAGGGCGTGGGTTCGAATCCCACTCTCATCATTATTTATTTTCTATCATTCCGGTGTCACTTCACATTATGACGATTGACACTTGCTCTCACGTTTTCCTCGGACGGTGTGCTTGCTTTGCTTTTATCGCTTGACGTTGGGGTGATGCTTTCCTGGGTCCCTATATGAGAGGAAGATATGTGATCCCTGGTTCGAAGTTCAAGTGTAAACACTTGGCAATGCGCGGACATCATTTTGTCCACAGGCGACCAATCAGAGGCTACTGAACCACCATGTTCGGTGCTCAAATGTGATATCCAATGCTCGGATTCAGAAAATTGAGTGAAAATGCATGTCCGGCACATGCTCGACGGCCGAACACTGTGTTTTGCGCCCGGTAGTTATAAAGTCGATGTTGAATGGTCATTATACACTGAGAGAGTTTATTAGACCACTATTATTGGTGTAATACACACTCAACGGTACATACCTTGAAATGCTGTATAAAAGTGACACATGTCTGAAACCAGTGCTTACAGATTGCTACTGTGATCGTATGTTCGGAAAGACACGCGCAAAACAGGCGGCCCTGGGTCCTCTCCGACAAGTTGGACGTTTCACATTGATATGTTCGACTCCCGAACTTCGTCAGTGATTGCGCTAAAACCTAAATATGGAAATACAGACGCTTAACAGGCGGCCTAGGGTATAACACCTCTCCGACAAGTTGGAGGACCTGCGTCACCAGATCGTATGTAAACAAACACGTCCTCCACTGAGAGGATTTATTAGGCCACTATTATTGGTGTATTACACACTCAACGGTACATACCTTGAAATGCTGTATAAAAGTGACACATGTCTGAAACCAGTGCTTACATATTGCTACTGTGATCGTACGTTCGGAAAGACACACGCAAAACAGGCGGCCCTGGGTCATCGCCGACAAGTTAGAGGTTTCCGATCGACATGTTCGACCGCCCAATTTTCGTCGGTGATTGCGATAAAACCTAAATATGTAAATACAGACGCTTAACAGACGGCCTACCTCTCCGACAAGTTGGAGAATCTGCGTCACCAGATCGTATGTAAACAAACACGTCCTCATATAAAAGTCGAGTCTATCCCCTCTCTCGTCCTCCAGCCCTCAGTTGATCTGTGTGTGCCGTCAAGCAGCCTCAAGCTCAAGTACTGGATAGTGAGCCGTCCTGTGGTGCTGATGAACCAATGCCTTCACTAATACCCACACAGCTTGATCCGCCTGGCTCTCTCCTGCTTGCCCTTCACGACGCCCGTTTAACGACTCCAATTTCACGACTTGATCAGTTTAAACGTTACTATGCGTGCCACCACTGTTGTCTTCGTCGCTGCGGCCGTTGCTGCTCCCATATTTGTCAGGCATGTAGAGATTTCCGACTTTTCCGCCAGGCCCGAGGCTCATTATTGTTATGCAGTGCTATCCCTACCTCTTACTATGATGGTCTCTATGTGCGCGGAGACGACGCTGAGATCTCGACAAGACGGGCAGCGAGACGAGACTTTCCTCCGGCGACGCATTTGTTGAGCATAGTTCCTGTCAGTATTTCATATTATTCTGCGATGTGCACATCAGTGTAAGCTGAGTATCATATGCGATGGCAGGGAACCAAGGCGAATAGGAGTCGGAAGTTGTTAAAAGAGGCCCAGATTAGCCGGGCAGCCTGGACCGAGCGGAATGGAGCATTGATGCAAAATGGCGGAAGACCTCCGCCAAGGGACAGTTTCAAAAAGGCACCCCAAGAAAGTGGGAACAGCCCGTACGCCTACAGGCGAGCACTGTTCGCGCGTGCGCTCCTCGACGCGCTCGACTGATTGTTAGCCACGCAACGAGTTGGATGCTTGCGTGACAGAAGGATATGTGGAGTAGAATATTGTGGATAATACACGCTGCTGCTGAGGGCTCAACACAGCGTCATTATGCGATGGCACGTATTTGGGGTCCTATAGTGAGACTCACTCTGAGGAACCAATAGTCAAGGACGCACGAAGCCAATGCCAGCTGCGCCGACAGTCAGGCAGCTGCATGGTGCAGAGTTGTTATTGTCCCTGTCAGGCCCGGCCGATCAAGGGAGTCAAATCCTGGTCGCACTGGGGTGCTGAACGGAGCGTAGGCGGAATCGCATTACATGAGATGGTGCGGGCAGACGGCGTCGCGGCGGTACGTTGCGCGCGAGGAGACGCCAGTCGGCGCGGGCCCGGCCTATGTCTATGTTAGCTCCGGTGCTCCGGTGCTCCGGGTCGCAGTATGATAGCTCAATACATGTGTCAGTGGTCACCGTGGCCGACTGACGAAGTCCGGCGGTCGAACATGCGTCAGAAAACTTGCCGCGAGAGATCGCATTTTTCTGCACTGCTCGAAGCGCGATCACTTCAAGTTGGCTGGACTTTACATGCAAAGAACATGGCAAGTGGACCAACTTCGAAGGCTAGCGATCTGTCATGTTCGATGTCCAGATGTGATATCTAATGCCCGAGCTCAGAAAATCAAGTGAAAATGCGACCTCTTTTGGCGCAGGTCTGGCACATCCTCGACGATCGGACACCGCGTTTTGCCCGTGGTGAGCTGAACCCGGCGCAGGAGCGGACTCGGAGCAACAGCATCGCGTTGCACGCGAGAGGGACGAGCAATGTCCGTGTGGGAGGGCCCCACTGGCGTCGAAAGAAATTGTATCAGGGGGCGGAACATGCTGCACTCACTCGCGCAGTGGCAAGTTCGCAAGATTCGTTAATACAGATAGTACAGAGCGCCTATATATTTATGTTTATCCAGTCTGAAGGTTGGTGCTTAGTACACTCCCGCTAGACGTGCAAGACTCGCTTCTTCCGTTTCTGCGCTTACATACTGTGCAAGAATCTACAGACGCGATGCCATCTCAGCATCCACAGAACCTTGTCATAGGCGATAGCGTACTCACCTCGTTCACTGCGACGTACTTGTTCACAAAATGATCCCCAAACATCTCCTTGACACACGAATCCTCCTGGAATCGCTTTCTGGCGTCTACAATCGTCGTCGGAACCGCGATCCCACGACTGTTCTTCTCCTCCTCAGTCATTTGGGCCAACGGCTTCTGGATGTCTGCGAATGTCAGGAGCGCACCCTGCTTCACACCCTGCAGGCCAGCCCCCAGCACTCCTGCAAGAACTAAATAAGGGTTTGCTGCGGCATCTGGGTGTCGAACTTCGAAACGATGGTCTCCAGGCGCGCCGCACAGCCGCACGGCTGCCTCTCTGCTATTCGTGCCCCAGCATGCGTATGGGCCGCCTGCAACCATATGTTCCCGAGTGCGCTCGTACGACGCTGAAACAGGCATAATGAGTGCACAGATTGCTGGCAGATGCGTCAGAAGGGCTTGGAGGAAAGATCGCTCGGTGGGGGTTAGCGTGGGGGCACAGGCTGCGTCCGCCGCGCGGGCCTCGTCGGGTTTCGTTGTGTGCACGGACAGGTTCAAGTGCGCACCGTTACACACTGCGCCGCATTAGCAGTCTGATAGCAGTTATAGCGGGGTGGTGGACGCAAACTCACAGTCGTGTGCACTCACACGTGGGGCGAACGTTGCATGCAAACCGTGCTTTTTCGCGACACTGTAGGTGAGCTCACGAGTGTAAACCAGCGCATCCGCGGCTTCCAGCGGCGACATGGGACCTGTCACTATCTCGTACTACCAGACCAGGTTCAAAGTTAGCGGAAAGCTCGACTGTAATTCTCCACGCGCGCACCTGCCCTCGACCGGCCTCTCCGTGGAACATCTGGAGCTCGATTCCAGACTCCACGATTTTGTCGGCGATCTCTTCGAGCGCTGCTGCTTCTGCGGAATGAGCAGGTATCTTGCGCGAGTAGCACCATTCTGCTGTATTGACAAAGACAGGTTCTGGCGATGTCGCGCTGAGCAACATGAATTCGGACTCGAAGCCGGCCAGAAAGGAGACTCCTGCTAGGGTCTGCGCATCGCTGCGAATTCGTTGTCAGCACCTCGCACTCGCCTTGGATGGACTAGGTGGGAATGTACTGACTCAACGATACGTTTGAGCATCGTTCGTGGGCATACATCCAATGTGACGCCGCCGGAGGGAGAGGGCGTCTTATGTTCGAGGAAGCCCATGATCGTGGCATGGCCCGGGGCATAGGTACATTTCCGGAAGCTGCTAGGGTCAAAGACATACAGCCACTCGTTGAACATCAGATCGGGGTCTGGGACGAATGCCAAACCGGCAGAAAACCAGGCAGGAGACGCCATAGTGATACTGGGGCGCGATGAGTGCAGAAGTTTCACAAAGTACGAGCGGGACAGGACTTTGTAGCGGACAATATTGGCCGGATCAGCCCATTGTACGCGGATGTAGCGAATGTCATCCAGCTGAAGTAGAAGGTCATCGAAGGTCGTTACTATTGGTGTCTTGGGCTTATATGGCACACCGTAAGAAGTGCTTGTCGACATTGCGAGAAAGCAGGGAGAAAGTGTGCCTTCAGGATATCGGAGATGCGACAAATAAGCGCATTCTGTCAGCTTAAATATGCTGACAGGCAGCAGTGCGCCCGATCAGATGCAAAGGCACCTGTGGCAGTAAGTATGTTGATGCCTCGCGCGTAACCCTGTGTTTCATGTACTTCAAACGTTGGATCAGATCTAGATAAGATAATTCTCAACTTTGACACAATCAACTGGCCGCAAGAGGTGATCGAAACTTAACTAGGCTACACTGCCCCAACCCATAATTGCTCAAGCATTCACGAGAGACAGACTGAAACCTGGACGAGATAACTCTGTCGAGCAACGAGCGGGAACATTACTTGCGTATTTACAGATACCATTAGTGTAATGGCATCTACGGTCTCATAACTCACCCGAATCTTGAGTAATTTCTGCTCATGTATCCGAGAGTGATTAACATGCAAAGCGCGAATGTCGTCGCCGCTGCCGAAGCTGCCGGCACACTCGTGGTTTAGGTCGTCCTAATCAGCTCCGACATGTCGGAGGGTACTACATAGAACTGAACAAGTATGACCAAGCTAGATCATGTCGCGACTTACCACAGTCCGGTAGCACGCTCGACGCATGAGTATGTCTAGTAATCATCCGCCTCAGGCTCTTCCACCAGTGTCAATCGCAGTTGGCAGTCTCACAACGGATGCACCCGTTATCTATGGGTATCTCGTTACCCTAGAACCTAGATGGGCAATAATGCAGGTACGTCCGGGCGGATGAAGTGCCTGCACAAAAATGCAAGAACAAGATCACCGCGAAGAAGGACGGGTGACGTACAGGGACCGTAGTACACGACGATTTCGGAAAATGAAGATGGTGCAGCCTATCTACGTTTGGGCCAGAGAAGTACAGCCTCATTAGTGTCACTCATGCGCGCTTCCTGGTCCAAAGGGACATGTCCTAGATAATGAGGTCCAGTATCGATAACGATGGCATTGGATATCATGCTCCTCCCGTCAGATCCATTCTCCAGGTGATGCGCAACCACGCATGAAATCCTGTTCAGTAGGTATGGTTGAGGTATAGTCTTTCAATCTATAGAACACTGTATCATAGATCATCCAGACCAGACTGAATGAACCAATGTTGTGCCGGTCGCTTGGCCATTCGACCAAAACTGGCCATAACCATTCCCACGAGGCGGCCGTCAGCCACAGGGTGGCTGACATTGCGCGCGGCTGGTGACAGGATGAGCGAACCTTACTCGGAGAGGCGCACATGTTTGGTATTGGGCATTGTAGACGAATGCCTCCTTTGCAAGTCATGTATTCCTCGATGCGACCGGTACGAATTTTTGAAGAGTTATTTGTCACTATAGAATTCACAGCCAGGACAGGATTAAGAATTCTGCTACTCAGGAATTACAGTAGTATATTATGTCTGAGGCCTAGACATATGTGAATTGGCAATAACATAGCGCTCCATCACTGAACATCACTGAACAGTAGGTACTGATAGGAAGTGGTGATCCATGCCTATCACATCGCGCCCTCGCTCCGGGAGATTACCCACCTTGCGATACCGAAGATCAAGATGACGCCACATTGAAGACAAGGAGTATACATACCACGCGTGGAGGATGCCTGGAATCCACCCGAGAATCCAGAGACAGATATTAATCCAAAAGTCTGACGCAGATAAAGCTTTAGTTGCGAAATGAAATCGCGCAGGCGGAGAGACTCACCAGCCGCGAAGCCGCGCTCTGCCCGACAAGAACGTAAGTGATCAGAGGGCAATGAAGATCGCGATTCAAATCAGGTGGAACGCACTGAAAAATACGGCCAATGGAGGAATGAAACTGGACGTAAATTAATGTCACGAATGGGCGGTTGGTAGAGTATCTCACATAGCGAGGAAGTAGAGAATCACGTCGCTCGGAGACGACACCGCTCTCCTGTGTACTGGTGCATTGGGACCAGTGACTGTGGACGTCGGTGCTACGGGCGCGCTGTCCGTCGCGCCATATGCTTGTTTGGTGGTCATGATATACTGGGATTAATGTTTCCGTGCGCGTTGTCGTTAAATGCGAGAAAAGGTGTTAAGGGGAGCTGGAAGGGCTGGCAGATATGGAGCCCCTATATATGCGACAGAGAGGAGTTGGCGCCGAATTACATGACGACGGTCTGCAGGACAGTCGCCAAGTCCCACAGCCGGCGGGAGGAGCAAGCTATCATGACCGTGACGTCATCTATGAACCTCGGCGTGACCAGGTACGCGTCGCCACACGTGTCACAATTGTGACTCCTGGCGCGACTGTGACGTCGGTGGAATCTCGTCGACTTCACTGTCTCAGCATCATGATAATTTTTATAATTTTAATCATTAGACGAGCGACGGAGAATCCAACTACCGAGTAGCCCCGGTCGTCGTCTCTCAATCACAGATGGCTTATTTCATTTCTACGGTTTAGTGTTCTCTAACTTCTAAGATCCATCCTTTCATACTCACATTATACATACATCGAGGTGAGCCAGTTACGACGTGAAGCAACTGACTGAATATCCCCCGTAGATCATGCATATAAACTACGCGAGTGGCGACAACACAGCAAGTGTCTTCAAAGCAGCACGGCTGATGTTGCGTGTGATACGGAGACGTAAACATCCGCCCATCTATCCCTGGCGGGTAGAAGTATTCCCCAAGCCACCTCCAGACAGTCTCTTGCGGCGTTTTGGGGCAGGCGATTCAGGCTCGCTGACATGGCGCCGGTCCCTGCATGACGATGCAGTCGCCGACCTGTCTGCGACGGGAGATGCTTCCCATTTTCTTACGTCTTGCCTCCGACGTCGATCTTCCGCACATTGCGCCCGGACCCACTTGGAGCGTACTTTATCTGACACCTTCACTGGATTGGCCTTGTAGTGTTCAAGTGTGGTCATTAAAGCAGCATACAGGCTCTCCGCATCGTCGTACCTATGCTCCTGGTACGCTTTCTGGGTAATGTCTCTTCAGTCAGCTAGAAGCTGTGTGAGCGGCTTATGGTAACTCGGAAGGAAGCGTGTGAGCCATGTCACGAATGCTGTTCGGGATTTGGTCATGGTGAGCATCTTCATGACCACACTATCTCCCTCGAAAAGACTTGACCACTCTCGATAGAACATTGATGATGGATCGGGGTCGTTCAGTTGCTTGCGACAGGTAGCTGGGCCACTTCTCGAGATACAGACCCAGAGAAGCACCCAAAAGAAACCTTCAAGGTCGTGAATGACGCTGTGAGGTGGGCCATGGACAGCTGCCAAACGTTTGTCTCCCTCGTCGTCCTCTTCGTCGTCACTACTATGATCCTCATCCTTCAAGCCGTCCTTGTCTTCGTCGACATCGTTTCCGTCTTCGTTTTTGACCTCGTCATATCCGTGAACGCCGTGATTGTCCACTCTGCACTCATCTTCATCATCTTCATCATCTTCATTATCGTCGTCGCCGATTGAGGCGACAACGCCTACTCCAGGTTGCTCATTCACGCCCTCACTGAAGTAATACCTATTTCCCAGTATTTCTGCAGACATAGAGGGCCGAGTCCCCTGGTTACAGTCAAACATATCAGACAGGTCAACCATGATTGTCAAATGAACACACTCACAGAAGGGGGATCATTGAGCAGTGGTTGATGCATTTCGAACATGATAGCGCTGTCAAAATCAATGAGTACTCCATCACCGTCAGTCCCATCATCATCACTCTTGATGAGGATGTTCCCAATACTGGCATCACGGTGTAACACTCCACGCCGATACGCATTACGATTTCCTGTTGAATAAATCCTTCAGCTTCTGGCGACATCTCGTCATGATGTACCTGGCGGCTCACCAATGACTCCTCCGAGAATAGCACGGACGAGTTCATTCAACGAACGCGCATACTTGATCGGCCATCCGTACGCTGTCGTCGATAGCCTGGAATGCACCATGTTCAGTGGTCTATCGCCGCCTCTCAGCGAGATGAGAGGCAAAAAATCTTCCTCTATCAGATATCGAGGCGTCGATCCCCATTCTGTCTCAGGCGAGATGGAATCGTGATCCGACGCCTGCGACTTGGATGCCTTCTCAGCTGCCTTGAGTTGATCTGCTTCGATACAGCGCGGCTTGTCCTGAACGACCAAGCCGCAACGGATGAAAGACGCAGTTGAAT